GGGCGCTTACAGTACTTGAGTAGAAAACTCTGGATGTCGCGGGCAGGGGATCTCCTCTGTTTGGATGGGATCGGTAGCGTCATGGATCCACCAGCCCCCAGTCACGACCATATTTTTCTTGCTGCTATGTTTACCAGTCGACTGGGTGGTAAACATGACATTGTTTTACTGACATTACCTGGTTAAGGGAACTGAATCTTTCAGAAGGTATCATGGACATAAATGGACAGAACCTGACTTAGCTGTGTTTCATGTTGACACAATTCCATCCCTTCGATATTCACCACCCCAAACTGGAACCCCAGTTCATCAATAGATCCAATACCAAGCTCGCGACAGGGCATCACGCTGCCCAGTGGCTGATAACCCTATCCAGTCCGTGCAACACCAAGCCATAGAAGCCATAGAAGTTATATCTGAAGAAGTCAAAAATTCCCCCTTGTAGGTGGTTTTTCTACATCAATGGAGGTTTCCTGTGGGGGTACCCCGAGACCATCCACTTTGGATACGGGGCATCTCGCCAGGAGCACCGCCGCAGCCGTTTGGAGGGCTGCAAGAGGTGGGATCCCCAGTCACCATGGGTTAAGCTACACAGGTCATCCATGACTGGATGATTTGGGTTACCCCCAATGACTGGATGGACAACTCCGATTTCATGAGATTTCATGGGATTTTATGGGATTTTATGAGATTTTATGATGGGCCAAAAGCTGATGAAATACCTGGGTGTTCACTTCAACGTAGCTGGTAGTTATGGAATTTATGGATGTTCCTCCACTCAAATCTGGTTTCCCATAGGTTTTGATCCATCCGTGAATAGCAACGGATAAGATATGGTGAATTTCCCATGGAATCATGGGGATTTGACGGGAATTTAAGGGTTCTTCCCAAGGAGAATCGACTGGGAATTTTCATAGTCCCAAGGAGGAACTTAAGCAATTAACGTGCTGGTATAATGGTGCCCCGGGGCCCACCGGTTGGGTGATGGAAGTTGATGAAACCTGTGGAAGTCGCAGGTTTCAATAGACATTTTGTTTCAACCGGCTCTTTGTACATGACGCAAGCTGCCGGCAGGTCTTGTACTGTGAGTTAAGTGAAGTTGACGCAGAAGACTTGTTTTAGTGGTCAAGTTTCCTCAGGCTGGGCTGAAGGGTTTCACTTCAGCATCTCGCTTGAAGTTCTGCATCACTGGGACGCATCTGAAAACAAGTGAGCGAAAATGGAGGCTGCTGAGGTTGTCGGAGATCCATAGATTCATATGGGTTATCTTGTACTAAGGTGCTAAGGGTCCTCTCCTGACAATGGACCAGGATCACACACTGTTCGACCAGGATTTTCAGGGATGCTCTTGGTGCCCCAGAAATCATGTGGTACGTACAGGATGTTTGATGGGAGTATTGGGATTGGGCCGGACTTGGGATTCTTGTGCATCCGAATTCAAACTTGTGCTAAAAACTCAAAACGACCAGATGTTTTCACAGACTGCTACTAAGTCCGATGGTGGAAACGATCTTGGAGTTTCTGGAGTTTTCCGGTGTTGATTTTCAGAGTGTGGAGAAAATACAGCAGCAGGATATGTCTGATGCCCTCCTGGTGCATCGCGTTTCTGGCGTCACTTTTCGGTTCAAGTTGGGGAAATACCAGGGCCCCTGCGTGTGTTTGGCGCCTCAAGACGAGCTTGACAGTTGTTGAGCTTTCGGTCGCGATTTTGGAACCAATTCTGGGGTTGAATGGTTTTAGATGATTTTTGTGGGTTGAAATTCCAATGATCCGCAAGTTGCTTGAAGTTGGACGCAGAACAGAGGTTCAAGGTAGCCAGCTGGCCTTTTCCAGCCAGAAAACCATCTTCCACAACCATTTCCTTGCTTCCATACGGACCTTTCATGGGTCAATCTTGGGAAGCCATTTTTTTCCAAATCCAGTTTTTCTTGTCTTTTCCTCCGCATTTTCACATGAAAGTTCGCGATTTCAAAGCATTTTCAAGCACTGCGACGGCACATCCCAGGTTTGGAGGGGCGTGTTCAGTGCAGCCAAGCTGTGACGTGGGGTCAGGAACTCGGCTCTGCGTCCATTGGATTTCAAATCCCAATGGATATAGTGATTTTGGGGGATATCATGGGAATTTATATATATATATATATGTATAATTATATATATATGATGGGAATTTCTATATATATAATATATTATATATAATATTATACATACAGTATATATATATATATAATTATATGTATAGACATACAGTATATATATATATGTATAATTATATATATATATGATGGGAATTTCTATATATATATAATATTATATATAATATTATACATACAGTATATATATATGATTATATGTATAGACATACAGTATATATATATGTATAATTATATATATATGATGGGAATTTCTATATATATATATATAATATTATATATAATATTATATATACAGTATATATATAGAAAGGTTGCTTTGGTACCTGAAAATTTCGGAGAAGCCATGGACTCCTTCGAGGCCATGCAGCGGACAAGACCCTTCACGCAACAGCGGGTTTATGGTGCGCAGGGAGGGCCAGGGAACACAACGACCTTGAAAATTCCATAGGGATTGCAACGTGAAACGTGACTGGGTGGTTTCATGTGGTGATTTTCTGGCTTATTTTGGATGAGAATCGAACATGACTATTGTTTTTCAGACAAAACTAGGGGGTAGAAGGCGAAAGCCTTAGCCTGGGTGAAAAAAGATTCCTGCAGGGGCCACTGCAGGGGGCTAGGTCTGAATACCAAAAGATTCCCAAACATACACATCATCTGTAAAAACCAAGTAATTTACAACACCCGAGTTCTTCCGTCAGCGTCATTGAGGACGGCAGTCCACCGAGAGGGTCTTCTTGTGGGTGTTGTAAAGCAGTTGCGGCATGTGTAGCAGCACCGTGAGGCATGGGCTTCATTGTCATAGTGCTCATGATCATTTTCGGCACCATGGCAGTTGAGCTGGCCACGGATCGAAGATGGTCGACGTTGTTGAGCCCCCAAACTGGATGGTCTACACATCTCAAAACTTAGACATGAAACCCCAAGAAATGGGATGGGAATGTTAAATTTGTCCAAGTATGTATATATAATTATATATATATTATAATTATAGAACTTAGCATGTTTGGGTTCCACGTTAATTTTCCTGGAGTTCATACCCCCAATTCACATATTATATTATATATTATATATATCATATATTGTATATTATATATCATGTATATCCTATATTATATGTGATATATTATATGATAAATGATATATGATATGTTATCTATGATATACTTTATATGATCATATGTATATATATATATGGACACATGATGGGTTTCATTGGCTTGATTTTCCCAACTAAACCAATCCTTATAAAACAAGTCCAGGCAGCTTTGGCCGGTCTTAGGCATACACTCTGCTTTTGTCTTTATTGTTGGGAGCTTAGCCCTTCCGCACTGAACCGGACAACCGGACTGAGCACAAAACCTGTTTTTATCACCGGGCTGTGGGCACAGGTGTGGGGGCCAAAGCTTTGGGTGCGCGCCCCGTCCAGAGCTATGTTTTTTTTTGGGTTGGAATCCACAAATGAATGGGGAAAGTGATGAATTGTACTGGTGAAATGATTGAAATGGTAGTCATACTCAACACACCGTTGTTTTTATTAGTGGGGATCAGGTTACATCATTGACAGGGGATTCATCACTGTGAGAAAATTCTCCTCTTGACACGCCGTGCTCAAGTCCCGCGAAATCTGCTGGGACTGCCAGTCTCACTTTGCAGCAAAAATTGCTGAGAAAGATCATGGAGCATCAAGATTCAACAGCTAGAAGAGTCGACCGCTAAAACACACCATGTTCTGCTATGATTAAGATGACTCCGATGTTTTTCTGGCTCTCAAGTCGCAGATTTGCGTCAGAATTCCAAGAACTTTCTACATGGGTTGATACCAAACAGCATTACAACAAGCAGTAGGAAATAGGAAGGGGCTCTGAACGGCTCCAGGAACTTGTCAGGCACTCAGTGGCGATCAGAATAATCAGATTATATGATTACTGTATATCAACATCATATTCTCCTCAATCTGCATCTATGTTGGTAGCTTGTAGCAGAATTCTTGTTACCTTGTTGCTTCTCCCGATTTCATTTGAAACTGCTCTCTGTTTTTGCACTTTGGCCGTGTCTGAAAATTGGGACCCCCCAAATAGCCAATAGGGAAGATGACTATGAACATTTTGAGATCGACCCGTAAGTTGGTTTATAACCCCACATTAACATCCATTAACTAGTTCAATATATCTACCAGAAGCCATAGTTGTGTTAGTTGTGTTTGGTATGTTAGTTATGTCAGTTATATCAGTTAGTGATGATCTACTACATTATGTTACATCGCCTTAGTTATGTTAGTTTACATCTATGGCTTATGTACCATGTAGAACCTTATAAAACCTTCATTTTCTTTGACATTTTGCCCCTGAGGCGCAACAAAAAAATGGCTCCTTTGACGACAGTTCGTGGTGTGCGCCTCAAAAAAACCGCCTGGGAGGCCTTCAACTGGACGTTGTTGGCGCCAGGATTCCCAACCCATCCGATGCAAGCGTGGGGAGCTCCTTCCAACAAAGAGGCCGGAGGGCGATTTGGGTTTGTCTGAAAATAGGGTATATTCCCAATGAAATAGCCATTTAATAGGGATAATGATCATGAACCATTGGGTTTAGGGGTACACTATTTTCAGACACACCCATTTGCTTGCGCAAGTTTAAGCGCAAGTTTAAGCGCAACTCTTGAGCTATTGAATTTTCGCGGCGTAATTGTGCAAACAATGAACGAATCCCAAGTCATGTTAAAGATATGTTGGATGTGGGCCGCACACAATGAATAGATCCAATACGAAACGGTGGCGTCAAGGAGGATCCAGGAGGATCAAGGAGTATTCAGCAGCTCTTTGGTGGTCAGGTGGTGCCTTCATCAAGCTTCATGGAGCCTGAGGATGCTGGGGAACAAATCATTGACCAATGAAGCCACCAGTTTTTGGTGATTGATCAATAGAATACGTTAATGTTTCAGGATCTTTTTGAGTATTTTAAAGTCTACACTTGTTTTTTTTGGTGATTTGGAGCCATACCCAAGTGTTCTTGAGGATGTTCTCACTTGGCTGCATGCTTGTCACCCCAGACATCAATGGGATGAGCCTTTTTTTCGCCGGGGAACTCATTGGCCGTTGTGAAGAGGGACGATCACCAGGACTACCCGGAAAATGTGAAGGAGATCATTCGACAGGTGCAGGCCTACATCTTCACCCGGCGCATCCGAGTCAAGGCCCCCAAGGGGCAGCTCCATGGCGGACATTGACCATGCGCCAGAAATCATCCGGGTGTTGGTGAGAAAATCGGCGAATTGACAAATCCCATTGTTGATATCACTTATTCATTTTTCCCATGGCCACAACTTGGGGAAGTCCATGGCTCAAGACACAGCGAGACGCCGACGCTTCGCTGCACGTTGTCAGGAGATCTTCTTGGATTTCGATCCCTTAAGATGCGGAAGGTGCACACCTCATCAGTTCGTACGCGGATTGAACAGTGTTGCTGGAAGCTCAGAAGTGTTGGTATATGATTCGACATGTAGATATGGCGGTAGACATTCTAAATGCAATATATATATATATACATATATATATATATGTATATATATACACATGATTATACATGTATATGATACGTGCCATGATCAAAAGTTCGATTACTGTATATACCATAGCGGGGCATGGTCATCAATCCATTCATAGGGTTTTACATACCACCCCAATTGTAAGGATTGGATGACCATACCCATATACAATTTTTTGTCCGTGGCATATGCTATGTATATTATACATATGTACTGATGGTATATAATGTGGGTAAAAACAATAATAAACCACCCATTTGGGAATGGTAAACATATCACCGATTTTTTCTGGTGATGACTGATGGTAAACTTGGCAGCCAGTTGTACCCTCATGAATCAGCACTCAATGCATCGGCTTTTTCACTTAGGCACCTCACTTGACAGCATCTCAAATGCGGATCCTAACGGCCTCTCAGCTGTTCGCTGATTCGGATCAGGATTTTTTGGCACCAAGAAATTGGGGATTGTTTCAATGATTGAAATGGGAGTCACCAAGAAAGATGAAGGGATCTATGATCTATGGGATAAAAATGGTTTACTCAATCAATTGGGATCCCATTTCAATCATTGTTTACCAAAGAAAATTCATGGGATATCACGGGATAATTACTGTTGGTTGTGAATCAGGGATGGCAGAGCCCACTGATGGACTGAAAGGTGCCACTGAGGTCTCCTCTCTTTCTCTCTCTTTCTCTGACTATCTATCTATCTATCTATCTATCTTCTATGTTTCTATTTAACTATCGATCTATCTATCGATCTATCTATCTCTCTTTCATCTGTCTATCTGTCTAGCTGTCTACCTGTCTATCTGTCTATCTATCTGTCTATCTGTCTGTCTGTCTGTCTGTCTATCTCTCTCTCTATCTATCTATCTATCTATCTATCTCTATCTATCTATCTATCTATCTATCTATCTCTCTTTCATCTGTCTATCTGTCTAGCTGTCTACCTGTCTATCTGTCTATCTATCTGTCTATCTGTCTGTCTGTCTGTCTGTCTGTCTATCTCTCTCTCTATCTATCTATCTATCTATCTATCTATCTATCTATCTATCTATCTCTCTTTCATCTGTCTATCTGTCTAGCTGTCTACCTGTCTATCTGTCTATCTATCTGTCTATCTGTCTGTCTGTCTGTCTGTCTATCTCTCTCTCTATCTATCTATCTATCTATCTTCTATGTTTCTATTTAACTATCGATCTATCTATCTATCTATCTATCTCTCTTTCATCTGTCTATCTGTCTAGCTGTCTACCTGTCTATCTGTCTATCTATCTGTCTATCTGTCTGTCTGTCTGTCTATCTCTCTCTCTATCTATCTATCTATCTATCTTCTATGTTTCTATTTAACTATCGATCTATCTATCTATCTATCTATCTATCTATCTCTCTTTCATCTGTCTATCTGTCTAGCTGTCTACCTGTCTATCTGTCTATCTATCTGTCTATCTGTCTGTCTGTCTGTCTATCTCTCTCTCTCTCTATCTATCTATCTATCTATCTATCTATCTATCTATCTATCTATCTCTCTTTCATCTGTCTATCTGTCTAGCTGTCTACCTGTCTATCTGTCTATCTATCTGTCTATCTGTCTGTCTGTCTGTTCTATCTCTCTCTCTATCTATCTATCTATCTATCTTCTATGTTTCTATTTAACTATCGATCTATCTATCTATCTATCTATCTCTCTTTCATCTGTCTATCTGTCTAGCTGTCTACCTGTCTATCTGTCTATCTATCTGTCTATCTGTCTGTCTGTCTGTCTATCTCTCTCTCTATCTATCTATCTATCTATCTTCTATGTTTCTATTTAACTATCGATCTATCTATCTATCTATCTATCTATCTCTCTTTCATCTGTCTATCTGTCTAGCTGTCTACCTGTCTAT